ATAGGTCTTATCAACTCCCCCAGCGGGAGTCGAACCGTGACAGTGCAGCGCATTAACCACTCAGCCACATTGGGTCACAGGGCCGAAGTGAATATCACACAAGGCTAGGCTTTATCCTATATCACATTATTTTGTGGGATTATCGATCAAGAAAACGTATTTTTACTATAACAATCGACTGCATTATTTAGTTTTGTATATAAGCCGAATCGAGTCTACCAGCAAATCAGTTATATGAGATGCATCCACCTTATTTCGTTTAAGGTAATGAGGGACTGGTGGCTGAAGATTTCCACCTTGAATCGAGTAGCCCTATCTTTTCCAATGGATCTCATACAACCTTTCCTTCTAAAAGGTATTCTCATTCAGGATTCAATGGTATGAGTAGAGCTGACGTTTCCAATAAATTTCACATTGCCTTGCTTTCCAAAAAGACGTTATCATACATAGTGAACTGCAAGTTCGACCTCGCATAGGTCTTATAAAACCCCCAGAGGGAGTCGAGTTGGAAGTGCTGATAAGACCTAGGCGAGGTCGAAACTGCAGTCTATCCTGGATGGAAAAAACTTTTGGGAAAGTAAGGCTATGTGAAATTAAATGGAAGCGTCAGCTCTACCCATAAGATTGTGCGAATATTCTCTATCTGTCCTTCATCACCTTAATCGAAATAGGTTAAATGCATCTCATATAACTGATTGACTAGTAGTCTAAAAAACTCCGCTTATATACGAAGAATAATTTATACTAAGCAGAAGACACTCTCCAAGTTTATGAGTCATTTAAAATTACGTTAATGACAAGGGCTATCTCTCTCTAACCGATTGTCTGTCTACTTCTGCTTCTTGTGAAAACAGCTTAGGTCATTTGCATCTAGTATTGAACCGTTAACAAAAAGATATACCATACACATTAACCTTTGGACCCTAACAACTGATCCAATGGCTCACCTGGTCCGCCTACTCGGATTCCCAGCCATCAGAGTGTTAAGCTCTTGAGTGACAATCAATTTTTTTATGCAATTATCTTTTTATATTGGATAAACGTATAAAAATAAACTGTATAAATTGGAAGAAAGACATATAACCACTCTAACAACACATTTTGCATCACTTACCTGGTCTAAGAAGTATAATCACCTTCAGACAAGCAAACTCAACTGCATTCATCTCCAAGCCGATCAACCTGACGATCTGTTCTATGAGGTTGTGCATCTGAGTTTCTTCATCATCCGTTCTGCCATTCCATGTCTTTCTAGCCATATCATTTTTCCCTTTGCCAAAATTGCCTCCATTGACATCCTCGTCTGGGACTTCAGCCTCATCGTTGGCAGCAGCACAATTTTCCCTCTCTGTTGCTTTTGTACCGGCCTTAAGTTCATTCTTTTCATCATCCTCCTTGTTGCCATAGCCCATCTCCCGAATTTTTCTCGCTTTAACAACTAACTCCAACTCATAATCCTTTTTAATTTCTGTCTTTGACTCCTCGCCAAGCCACAGTGCATCAGACATTTGTCCACTTGAAGCCTTGTTATTTTCGGCCATTTCTGTGCTGATCGGCTTCTCTTTGGTTAGACCAAAGTTGCCAAGTATCTCAGACAGAGGGGCGGGTACGCGGCCCAGTCTCTCTGATGTTCCACTTTGTTCAGACATCGAGTTTTTTGGCACCGACCCTGAGTCGGCTAGACTCCCCGGTTTACTGGCCAAAGACTGGCAAATAGGTGAGCCATATACTTGGCTCGGTAGGTCAGGTCTACCACAAGATCTCCGTAGACAGTCCTGGATGGGGGGCTTTTTGGGACCTGTTAACTCGTCTTCAAAACTTGAAGGATGTGTTCTCGGCGAAACAGACTTCGTTGAGGCTTCTGCAAGCCCAGACACCTCAAAGATGGGTGAAGAAGAACTAGACGACGAAGAGGAGTTCGAAACGATGACACTGTTAAAGATAACGGCATTGGCTGCAGACGCAGAAGACGATGATGAGCAAGAAGATGGCACCATATCGGAAACTGGTTCAGACAATTTACTGAGGATTTGCTGTCTCCCAGTCGCCTTGGAAGCCATTCGGGGAGTTGTTTGATTCAGGCCTCCATCAACTGGCACTTCTAGGTCACATGAATAGTCAAATCCTGTACACTGGAAGCTAGACTTTGACCTCTTCCGGGTACTGCCACCTTTTGCACAACCCAAGAGATGGAGGATAGAGGGATGTCGAGTGTAGGCGGCCGTCAGTAGAAAGATCTCGGACCAGGTAGCTTGGGTCAATGATAGTCTGTCGGCAAACTAGAAATATGAGTGTTTCAGTGTGGAGACAAAGGTTAATGTAGAAGGAATAATATATGCAGCTTACCAAGACTTAAACGATAAAAGTTGTAAAATAAAATAAGTCTGTTATCCGAATACTCCTAATACTTGCACAACTTTACTCTCAGTTCATCCTTTAATTGACATTAACAATAACCAAAGGCCAGTTCAACTAACTTTCAAGATATATTTGAGTATAGAGATTCGAACTTCTGCAAGTTAGCAATTCCTTCAAAACGCAACATCAAATTTGGCTATGATCCCAGAATTGAGGTGGCCCACATGACTCGAACATGACATTTTAGCATTGTACTGTTTATAAAGGATTTTGCTCAGTGTCAGGCTGCCGTTAGATGCTTCCTTTTGTCGCTTTAAACAAATCTGCAGATTACGACAGATTCTTTTTAGAGGTGAATCCATTTCCACAGTCTTTACAAATGAAGTGCCCGATTGGCGCTAGCTACAATCTATTATAAAACAAAATAATATATTAACTGCAAAATGTAATAGTATTGATATATGCATATTCATATCACTTGCCTGTAGATCCTGGAAGAATGGCAAATTGCACATCCATTCTACATTGTCTATTATAATCTGTACAGACGCCTCCTGAAGCGCTCCGCCTTCCAAGTTGCATGACCCCAAACCAGATTGCTCTCTGTACCTGTTACCTCGAAGCCCGGGTTGAATAGATCTTTCGTCTTGGCTGTCTTCCAGGCACTCGTAGGAGGTATAGGAAAAGCTACTGCAATTCGATTTCATCGATTTGTCACCAGTATGGCTTCCACTATATCCTTCTAGTGGATCCGAAGTACAGGGATTCTGGCCAAACTCTTCAACTGGGACTCTACTAACATAGATGGCTTCGTTGCCGTCCCTTAGTCTAGATTGATGATCGTCTCTAGGCCGAATATAATCTTTTTTTGGAGCAATGTTTGCGAGAAAAGTGGCAGAAAGTTCTGGCCGACATAATCGGTCTGGCAATCCGGCATTAGTCCCACATCCGGGATTCGAGCCTAAGGGTGGATTAGACGATTGTTTACCTGAGAGAGGAAAAAAGAATGCGTAACTCAGACATTCTCATTTTTGATTTTAAAACGAATGTATGGCTTATAAGAAGAGGGTCCATACTTCTATGACTCATTGAGATAACCTTGTGGAAAATCTTATTTCGTATTAAGGAAAATGACGAAGAGATTTGTAGGTCGATCTCACAAGAAGACAAGAACTGATAACTTCTGTTTTGCAGCCGTTTGGCTTTAATACAACGTTCAGGTTAACGTAATCCGATGAATCATAATAACGTAATCATATGATGAATATACTCAGAGGTATAGCTCATTATTGCATAAGCTTCAATGTTGCAATGTAGCACAACAACAATACAGCACCTGTTGTATTTATTTCTAGTTATTACTGCTGGTTTCATACTATTACATAAGCATGAAGACACATAAGCACATAAAAACATGCGCGCACATGACTTAAATTAATCTAATAAGTGGGTTGACCTCGTTGTCGCAACTTGGTCTTGTTTTTAGGGAGACCATGTAGAACGCACCTAGTCC